GGACCCAACTCTGAACTCCCAACATTAAAAATGCCCTGACTCCACTTCACCTGGCAACTTTCACCCAAATCTCACCTTCCCGCATTTATGTTGGCAGCTGGCCAGTCACTCCTTCCTGTGCATTCCAGCAGCCCTTGGTATAGTCCTCTATGATTAAGCACTTTTCACACGGCCTGGTAACTCCCGATTTACACATTTGTCCTCTTCACTCTACAGTAAGCTCCTTGAGGGCACGGACTCTTATCCAGCGTTGGCCCTCATGCCATGTTCATCCACCACACAGGCAAAGACCAAAATTAGGGGAAGAAAAATAAAGGAGATGTGGTACACATATGCAATGGAATATTATCCAGCCATTAAAAAGAGTGAAATAATGCCATCTGCAGCAACATGGGTGGACCTGGAGATTATCATACTGAGTGAAGTAGTCAGGCAAAGACAAATATCATATAATTTCACTTATATGCAGTCTTTTAAAATGATACAAATGAACTTATCTACAAAACAGAGAACTAGTTTATGGTTACTGGCAGTGGGCAGAGGGGCATAAGATTGTGAGTTTGGGATTGACATTACACACTGCTATGTTTAAAATAAAATGCCTTTCCATGAAAAAATAAAATCAGGTTAAAAAAACTATGGGACGAGAATAGCCAGAATTGATTGAGGAGGTGGGAGAAAAGGATGTTGCTTGGTAGAGTTTTATTGTGTTATTTCTAGGAATTTATGCCATGAGTATATTGATATCAGTGCACAAAGATGTTCTGTAGGATGATGCTCATTGCAGTATCATTTGTAATACTGAAAAGCTGGAATCAGCCTACATTTCCATCAGAAGATAATGAGAAGTATTGGTGGAATAATATCCTACCATGAAAAATGAAGTAGATTTACATATACTGATAAGGGATGTTTGAATAGAATAGTTCATTTAAAAATAAGTCAAAAACTGTTCATATAGTATATTGCAGTTTGTATTTAAAACAAAAAGGACAGACTCACATATAGATGTCTAAAAATGTCTAGAAGTTTACATAAGCAACCACTGAATAGTGGATATATTTACAAAAGCACAGTCAAGTGAATGGGCCAGCTTTTAAGGGGAATTTTACTTTTCACTTTATTCCTTTCTTATGGTTAATTTTCCTTATAACTAGAAGCATATTATTTTTATAATAAAATGTGCTATTTATTTAACATTTGTAATCTTCTGGGCATTACTCTACTTTGTAAAAATGTGCTCTTTGAGTCCTCATAACATAACAGCCCTATGAAGTAGGTAGTAGGGGTATTTTTTTGTTTGTTTGTTTGTCCTTTTGTTTTTGGCTGCACCACAAGGTTATGTGGGATCTTAGCTCCCCCACTAGGAATCAAACCCATGCCTCCTGCAGTGGAAACGCAGAATCTAACCACTGGACCACCAGGGAAGTCGCAGGTGTAGTTTAATAATTCCCTTTTATAAAAGAAAAAAGGAAGCACAGAGGTGCTAAATAATCAAAACATAGATTTTTAATAATTAAAAATTCTTAAGTGGGGGAGGGATAAATTGGAAGATTGGAATTGACATACACACACTACTATACACAAAATAGATAATAAGGACCTACTATATAGCACAAGGAACTCTACTCCATACTCTGTAGGTGGCCTATATGGGAGAAGAATCTGAAAAAGAATGGATATACATATGTGCATAATGGATTCACTTTACTGTGTGCCTGAAACAAAACATTGGAAATCAAATATACTCCAATAAAAAAATTAAATCTTAGAAAAATTTTAAATATTGAATTTTGGTCTCACTTTCTCCTTCCACATCTTCCACATATTTGGCACCATAGATGTTTAAGCTTAAACAGATGGATAGTTTCTCTGAAGAGAAACTCTCCAGCCCAGGGAGAGCTGGAGAGCTCCAGGCTGGAGCCCTTCAACTCTTGGGAACTGACTGCAAAGCAGGGAAGGCAAATGGGGCCGCAGATCCTCCACTCATGGATCAAGCACAAGTCAAGCAGCTACATGCAAAAAAAAAAAAAAAAAGTCCTTCCAGCCCCTCTGTTAGGGACTCACATGAAAGTGAAAACAAGCAATAAGGTACTCAGTAAAATAATAACAATGGCCACTATCGCTTATCAGGCACCTACTAATTGCCAGTTCCCCTGCTGAGCGCTTTACAAACACTATCTGTTTAATCCTAACAGCCCCAAGGTAGGTATTGTTATGACCCCTTGTTTATCAAAGAGGAGAAAGCAAGGCTGAGGAAGTTTAAGTAATGCGCTCAATCATCCAGCAGGTAAACCAGATTTGGACCTAACTCCATCTGAATCACAATGCTCTCAATTAATCTTGCGTCCTACACCACAGAAACTGAATGCAGAGAGGAAACAGGGTGGAAGAAACTTCTCTTCCACCTCCAAAACAAACTCTAGCTACAGAGAAAATGTGACAGATTAGAGAACAGGCCTTTCAGATCCACCGCTAACATGAAACACCCAAAAATCATCACTAGGCGCTAAATGGAATGATAACTATCCTGATTCTGCTTATAAACCCAGGAGGTTTACACTGTTATTTGTTAATGTTCACAACAACTCTGCAAGGTAGATGTCATCAACTCAACTTTAGAGAGGAAGAAACTAAGGCTCAGACAGGTTATAGTTTTACTAACGGTATACAGCAAGGACAAGGCATAGCTGGCTTTGAATTTGTCTGCCTCACTCCCAAGTCAGTTTCTTCACAAGGCCATGCTGTTAATACCTTCAGGTGGAGCTGGGGCACAGTATATTGTGGTCAACGCAAAATGAAATCCAGACCTCCAGTCTTTCAGGTCAGGAATTACTCTTCCCTGACCCCAGGTAAGACCCCACCCCCACCCCCAAACAGAAGGCTGTTGCTTCGCCTACTTGATGAACACACTGCAGCGTCACAACATATCACCTCAGAGATAACCGTTTTTGCATCTCACTAGGAAGGTTCAAACTTCTCTTCAACCCCACCTTTAGACAAAGTAAGTAAAGGTTTGACAGCCTCCCAAAAAGAATGTTGAGTCTAGTCTAGAAACCCACAGATAGCACTACCCAGCGCCTTCTCAGACACTTCTTTATCAAAGTTTTATTAGCCTCAGCTCAAGGTACCTCCAGCTGAGCATCTCATTACAGAGTAAGGACACTTCAGACATTTGTAACACCACTAACCAAGCAGGAATTTCAAGGACAGCAGCAGAAATTAATCGCAAGGGAGCTATAAATCCTCTTCACCCCCTTTCCCCTCCTCCATACACTCGCTCTCTCAACTCACCTATTTTTTCACCACAAATGGACTACTCCCATACCTTAAACACATCTGTGACATTCTCATCTCTGTTCATATATTCACACTTTCCTTTGCCTGGAATTCATTCTCCCCTGGCTGAAATCTATCTTCCACTTTGAACTCTAATCCCACCTATTATTTACTTATCTTTGGGCATTTGTCACATCACATTCTTCATTACAATTATCCAAAAACATTCCTTTCTTTTTTCCTCCTCCTTGATTATAAACTACCTATGTGACCTCAAAGTAAAGTACTGACTGCCTAGACACTGGAGATATAAATACGTGATAATTTATGGAGAGATCTGTGTTTTGTTCTCATTCCTGCTGATGATTTATCTCCCTACCCCCAAGAAGGCAGCCAAGCCTTAATGTTCCCTAAGCTGAAGGCTTCTAAGTTTCAAATCTAAAAATCAGCAGTTTTTAGGCATCCAGAAGACAATTTCCAGAAATGCTTTTGGAAAGCGTGGGCTTATTAAGGGAACAGATCCAGAAGGAAAAGGGATGAGAGCGAATGCTTTGAATGAGAGAAACAAAAGAAATCTGTGGGGGGAAGGGTTAGAGAAGGTACCAAGTGTTAGAGTTTATGGAAAGTAAAGACCTAGCCTTCATTTGCATATAGCACCCCAGGATAAGGAGAACGCTGTGGGAGACCGTCCACTATAATACCTTGTCCTTGAGAGCTGTGGTAAGGGTCTATCTCTTTGAGCAAGTGTGGAAAGATGATTTACAGTGACGAGCAGGATTAGCACTCACATCAGTAGAAGGAGCCACCCGAATGATGCAACCACCACAGATTAAGGAGCTGGCCTCTACCCCACTTTTTTTGTGAAAGGAACACAATCTTCAGAAAGCAGTACTATATGCAGAGTTAAAATGCTTCACCTTTCAGACGACTTCTCTGATCAACAATGGCTAAGTCTAAGAACCTACTATACTGGAAACGACAGGATACGGCTTCTAGGATTCGCTGCTTCGGTCTGGGGCCCATTTCCTGGCTGGATATCAGGTCTCCGATCTGACCCCTCCCTCTTAGTTTAACTCTTCCAATAGCCTTCAGTCTTTCCACTGACCAATCCTTCCTCAATGGCCCCCTCCAAGTCTGGCCGCATCTCCACCCCTCAACCCTACGTCAGACTCTCCCTTAGTCGTTCCTTCTTCACCCTAATCTCCCTTGTGCCTCTCACCCTCGTCTCCTTTTGCCCAATCAGCCCCAATTCTCTCTCCTTCCCCTCCCGCATCTCCCGGGAGGGTCTCCTTTCATTCTTCAGTAACCACCCCCCTCCCCCCCTCCCCACCCCCAGCTCAGCCGTTGGAGAAGGCGTGGCCCCGCGAGTAACAGGTCTCCCGCCCCACACTCCGCGGGCTCGCGCGCAGACAAAGACATTCCACAGCCCCCGCCCCCTCCGCGCCCTCGGCCAGAAGGGGGAGGAGACACGTGTCCCGCTAGCGCCGAGTCACGTGGAAAAGAAACGAACGGAGCCCGCGGCCTCCCGCGCACGCGCACAAGTCCCCGGCCTGGAGGGCTCGGAGGGAAAAGGGGAGCGGGGAGGCGACTTCTTCGGACTCCGCGGCGGCGCGCAGGCGCCGTGGCCAGACCGGGGACTTTGTTCTCCGTGGAGAGACCCAAGGGCGGTGCCGGTGACTGGCTGCGCACGCGCGCCGCCTCATTTCCGGTGCTCTCTTTCGCTGGGTCGCTCGGGTCGGCTTCGGTCGCTGTCGCTCCCGCTCTCCCACCCCCGCCAACCGCCGCTTGGGCCGCCGCCGCTCGGGCCTCCGCCGCTGACGCGTCGCTTCCTCGACCTCTTTGTCGCACATCCTTCCCAATGCAGCGCCGGGACGACCCCGCCGCGCGCATGAGCCGGTCCTCGGGCCGCAGCGGCTCCATGGACCCCTCAGGTGCCCACCCCTCCGTGCGTCAGGCGCCCCCTCGGCAGCCGCCGCTGCCTCATCGGTCCCGGGGAGGTGGAGGAGGGTCTCGCGGGGGCGCCCGGGCCTCGCCCGCCACGCAGCCGCCACCGCTGCTGCCGCCCTCGGCCACCGGTCCCGACGCGACAGTGGGCGGTCCAGCGCCGACCCCGCTGCTGCCCCCCTCAGCCACTGCCTCCGTCAAGATGGAGCCCGAGAACAAGTATCTGCCCGAACTCATGGCCGAGAAGGACTCGCTCGACCCGTCCTTCACTCACGCCATGCAGTTGCTGACGGCAGGTAAGCGGGCGTCTGGGATCCCTCTGGGTCCCCCGGCCACTCGGGGGCATGGGTGGTAGCGGCTTTGTTCCTCTTGCTTCGCTTCCCCTGAGGACCCAGGCAGTCGTGGACTCCTCTCATTCTCATCTTCGGAAGCTTAAGATTCCACGTTCCCATCCCGGCCCAGAGGGCGAGGGAGAATTTCTAGGCTGCAGTGGAGGCCCGGAGGGAACTTGGCGATCTCTTAGCGCAAAGATCTTGATGGATAGATGCCGCGTTCCCCGCCCCCTTGGCCGACCCTTTTGCCTCCCCTCGCAGCTGCCCTGCGTTCCGAGTGCTCAGATTCTTCCAGAAAGGAACCTTCATCTCCCCCTTCCCCCAAAGGGGAAGCTTGTTTGATCGCTGGTAGCGGTCGGCGCCTCAACTGAGAGTGTAGGAGGTGAAGACAGCCTGAGCCGGGAGGGACCGTGAGAGGGAGGGGGGCGAGGTGAGATGGGGTGAGACTGGGGTGCCCTGTCCAGCGCGCCGAGGCCGCCGGGGCTGGGTCGGACTTAGCGGTAACTGGAGCTTGAGTTGCTTGGAGGCAGGAGCAACCTGTGGGAATCCGAGCTTGAGGTTTTCCGAATCATATTTCCGACCTCGGCAGATAAGATGGTAATTGCTGCCGAACCAGACGTTTTTGACCCCTTTATTTTATAATGTGTATTCTGCACTCACAGGGGAAAAAAATAAACCTAAAGACGGTGAAAGGGGGTGATAGAGGGAGGTTTAAGGATGGTTTGCGTGGCATTCCCAATCAGCTGGGGGAAAAAATTGACATAAGTTTGCGTGGCCTCCTCCCCCGCTCTTTTAGGTAGTGAAATAGATAAGGAATAGTAGTCTTTGTTCTCGGTCTGTAGACTAGCGCTCCTTTTTTGCGCAAAACTAGCCATCATCTAGTAGCTCTGATCTCCCGAAAGCCGCCTATTTTGCCCTCTCTCCTTGTTAAAACGGTTTAGTAAGTGTCTTATGATACCTAAATTTTATAAGCAGATACAAATCCAAAACCTTCCAACACTGAGTGAGTAGTTGGACTCTGGCAGGATTGAAATAATGGACAGGTCCCATATGAAAATATCCTTTCCCCTCTGTTTGTTCTCTATCTCCCAACATTAGAGGAAATCTTTTAAACAGTAAACAAAGCCCAAGACATTCAAGAATAGCATTTAAATAAACTGCTTACGGTTTCAACTCTGTGCTTTGCTCTTCTGTAACACAGTCAGATTGTTTGAAACATTACTGTTCATTGTGTTCTTCTGGCAAACTTTGAGGGCAAGGAAAGCTTTTTTAATCTTTGTTTTTCATATTGTCTTGCATATAGCAAATACCAGTTGTCTGAATCTGAAAACAAGTACATATAGGTTCAAGAACCTCAGACAATGCTAAAAGTTGACTGGATCTTATTTTTATTTTCTTGCATCTTCAATCAGTCCAGGTTAAATGTGTGAGAATAAAATAAACTTTAGAACTGTAAGGTGCTGACTTGGTTTTGAAATTCTAGCTCTTGACTAGTCATCTACTCTTGGGAAACTCTGAATCTCACTAAGCTCATCTGTGAAGTGGGGTGGTGAGTTGTGAGGATTAAATGTTGTATAAAAAGCTCTGGCACAGTTCTTTTGACCTATAATCATTAGATAATAACTTGCCATCAGTTTTCTCCTAGTTGTAAATTCATGGTAATGAGTTTGGATGAAAACGCAAAATTTTTCTTGCCATTCTGCACACATCAGGTGTCAGTGCTAATCTAGTCTTTTAGGTAGAATATGATTTCTTAGGATAGCTATCAAAAACTTGATCCTTACAGTGAAGGTGTTAGTGGCTCAGTCGTGTTCGACTCTTTGTGACCCCCATGGACAGTAGCTTACCAGGCTCCTCTGTCCATGGGATTCTCCAGACAAGAATACTGGAGTGGGTTGCCATGCCCTCTTCCAGGGGATCTTCCTTACCCAGGGATTGAGCCCAGGTCTTCTGCATTGTAGGCAGATTCTTTACCATCTGAGCCACCAGGGAAGCCTGATCCTTAGAAGTTACATAAAATTTTCACCTCTCTCTTACTGCTTAACTTTTGTCACAAGAGAGCATGCTTTAATTTTTTTTTTTAATTTGAGCTTTTTTTCCCCTCTCACTTTTAAAAAATATATATATTTATTTGACTGTGTCAGGTCTTAGTTTCCACAGATAAGCTTCATTCCTCTGTGCCTTGTGGGATCTTAGTTCCCAGGGCCAGGTATCAAACCTGGGTCCCCTGCATTGCAGGATGGACTCTTAACCACTGGAGAAGTCCCAAGCTTTTTTATGTCTTTTTTTCTTTTTTTTTTTTTTTTGAGAACTCTTATGATTTATTCTCTTAACTTTCATATATATAGCAGTATTATATTTATTATGTTGTACATTACATCCCTAGTATCTATTTATCTTTTTTTTTTAATTTTTATTAGTTGGAGGCTAATTACTTTACATCATTACAGTAGTTTTTGTTATACATTGATATGAATTAGCCATGGATTTACATGTACTCCCCATCCCAGTCCCCCCTCCCACCTCCCTCTCCACCCAATCCCTCTGGGTCTTCCCAGTGCACCAGGCCCGAGCACTTGTCTCATGTACCCAACCTGAGCTGGTTATCCGTTTCACCCTAGATAATATACATGTTTCAATGCTGTTCTCCTGAAACATCCCACCCTCGCCTTCTCCCAGAGTCCACAAGTCTGTTCCATACATCTGAGTCTCTTTTGTCTTTTTTTCTTTAACCAAATTGAATTTTAATTGGAGAAAGGGGGTTGAGGTAATGCTGGCTCACTGAGAGAACTGACTTGGGAAAGGTGAATACTTCTTAGCACGCATGCGCTGTGCTTAGTGGTTCAGCCGTGTCCGACTCTGCGCAAGTCCATGGACTGTAGCCCGCCAGGCTCCTCTGTCCGTGGGCATTCTCCAGGCAAGAATACTGGAGTGGGTTGCTATGCCCTCCTCTAGGGATCTTCCCAGCCCAGGGATCAAACCCAGATCTCCCACATTGCAGGCGGATTCCTTACTGTCTGAGCCAGCAGGGAAGCCCAAGAATACTGGAGTGGGTAGCCTATCCCTTTTCCAGGGGAACTTCCAGACCCAGGAATTGAACCTGGGTCTCCTGCATTGCAGGCAGATTCTTTACCAGCTGATGTACCCGGGAAGACTCTTAGAATGGATAAATGTTGATATATGTTGGACCCAGCTTTTAAGGTTTTTTTAAGTTGAGTATAGTTAATTTACTTTAAGATATTTTTGAATGATCTGGAAAAGGGATTGTAGTAAAGTTGACCAATTGTGAGGAAATGAGACTGAGAAGACAATAGTAGTTAAACTCTGTGATGATACTATGTGTAGGGAAAATATGACTAACACTATGCTAGATGCTGGACACTGGTCTGAGCACTTTACATCAACTATTAACCTTACTAAGAGGAAGTTTACTCTTATTACTCTTATCTTTATTTCTACATATGAGGAAACCAAGGCAAGCAGATTAAGTAATTTGCCTAAGGTAACAAAATCAATAAACAGCATAAGGAAGATTTGAAGTCAGTCTAAGTCTGGATCCTCACACTTAAACCTCTTTGCTCACCACTCCCCCATTCCTCACTATAGTGCCTATAATAAAATTGTACTCAAAAAATTTTGTGTGTGTGCTAAAATATTAAAAGAAAATCTGAACATATCATAGTCTAGCCAACAGATCAGTGAAGGTGACAAGACCAAGACACAGAAGAAGGAGGAAACCCAGAGAGCATAGCACTTGGGACTGTGACTCCTCCACGCAACTCTGCCCATTTCCCAAGAGGTGCCACAAGACCCAGACCACTCTTGCCTTCCCAGCCCTCCCTCTCCCTTTCCCAGCTTAACCTTATTTTGTACTTACCGGCATCTGACGCACCATATGTTGTAGTTAATGTGTTTGCTTGTTGGTTACTCCTCCATTATGACCAGAATGTTAGCTCTATCAGGGCAGGGATCTTTTGTCTGCTTTGTTGACGGCTGTATCTTCTGTTTCTTTATGAATACTGCATAAGGTGGCCTCTTACAAAATAGTTGGTGAATAAATATTCATCTTCATTGCATGATGGAAGAATATCAACACAATTCTGAAGGATTTAGATTTTGAATACAGACATCTATATTAGCCAAATTGATAATCAACTATGATGACAATTAAATGCATTTGCAGATGTACAAGGACTCTCAGGGTACCCATGCTTGTTTCCTGAAACAATTTATCATATTATTTGTGTTACATACTTACATAATAAACATAAGATGTTTTTATATATATCAGTGTTCTTTTTCTACTTTTTATAACTGGGAAAATACAAGTCAGTATAAATGACTCAGGAATAAGTGAACGTTTTGAATAGATTAGCAATCCCCAGATGATCTTGAAAGGATACTCAGCAGTTCATTTTCCAAAAGCACCCAGTGCAGGGACTTCCCTGGTGGTCCAGTGGTTAAGGCTCTCTGCTTCCACTGCCCAGGGCATGGGTTTGAGATCCTGCATGCAGCATGGCAAGGCAAAAAAAAAACCACGTCAGCGCAGAATCTTTCCAAACAGAAACCTATTGAAACCTCAAAATAGTTAATTTCTGTATTTAATTTACAATTGCTATAGAAATACATCTTTTTTGATGTATTTAAATACATCTAAGTCATGTCTGATTCTTTGTGACCCCATGGACTGCTTCAGCCAGACTTCCTTATCCTTCACTAACCCCGGAGTTTGCACAAACTCACATCCATTGAGTTGGTGAGGCTATCCAACCATCTCATCCTCTGTCAGCCCCTTCTCCTGCCCTCAGCCTTTCCGAGCATCAGGAATTTTTCCAGTGAGTCAGCTCTTTACATCAGGTGGTCAAATATTGGAGCTTCACTGTCAGTCCTTCCAGTGAATTCAGGGTTGATTTCCTTTGGGATTGACTGATATAATCTCTTTGTACTCTAAGAGGCTCTCAGGT